TATTGAGTTTGTACACCCTGATTGGCTAGGGCTTCTATGACCGCTTCCGTCTCAACAGAATCAAAGGCCTTCTTTAAATCAATGAACGTTAGACAGAGTGGCATCCTGAACTCCCGAGATACCTCAATGAGCTTGGTTACTGTGTGGATATGGTCGATGGTACTGAATCCTTTTCGGAATCCAGCTTGTTCACATGGTTGTCCTTCATCTAGTGTTCTGCTAATCCTATTCAGGATGACTCGAGTGAATAGTTTGTAGATGACAGACAATAGGCAGATTGAGCGATAGTTGCCAATGTCGTGGATGTCTCCTTTCTTGTATAGTAGTACAGTCTTGCTGGTTTTCCATTGGGATGGAACCTTGCATTCAGACAGGTAGCGTGTGAAGAGTCGAGCCAATGTATTGATGAGTACTGATGGTAAGTTCTTCAGGTGTTCAGGTCTGATCTTGTCTGGGCCAGGTGCTCTTTGTTTCTTTACCGACGAGATGGCATGTTGGATTTCGGAATATATATAATATATATATAATATTATATATAAATATATAATATACATTTTTATATGTTATGATATATATGCTCATTAACATACAATGCCTTGTGAAACTTATTTTTAACATAAAAATACAAACATATGTGTCATACACAAACACCAAGGGTTATTCCGTATATAAAATGAATTTCTTATTGTAAATTATAAAAAACTACTCCATTAATCTGTCTATTTATTTGCCCGCACAATGTGTATCTAAGGATAATGACTGTGCTCTGATATCTGGTAAGGAAAATACCACATATTTTCTTTATAAACTTTCTTTTATTTTTGGACATTTCCCTTTAACATGAACTACACAGTCATATTTTTTTCTAATAATAAATAAAAGTATCTATTTTCATTTTGATTGCTAGTATAGGAGAAATTTCACTTTTACATTATTAGGTTCTTTGTATTATTAGACATTTGGTATATCCATATGTTTATGAAACATGTTTTCATAATTCTTATTATATGAGTCCTATGAATAAATTTATTTCTAAACATTTTATACCATTTTAATGTTGTAAGAGAAAGCCTATTTCATTCTGTATACTTACTGTGGATATAAGTTATCAATTTTATTTTCTTTTTATAACTATTTTCAATTTGGGGGCCACATCCAGCTATGCCCAGGGCTTGCTCCTGCCTCTGTTCTCAGGGATCATTCCTGTTGATTCTTAGGGTCCTGGGACCAAAGGAAGCGCTGGGCCTTGGACCCGGGCCAGCCACGTGCAACTAATGTTCTTTACCTTAACCCCCACCATTTTATTTATTTTTTTAAAATTTTTTTATTAGTGAAACACCATGAGGTACAGTTATAGACTTATAAATTTTTGTGCTTGGGTTTCAGTTATACAATGATCAAGTACCTAACCCTCCACCAGTGCCCATCCTCCACCACCACGGGTCCCAGCATCCCTCCCACCCCCCATCCCCCTATCCCACCCTGCCTCTATGGCAGGACATTCCCCCTTGTTCTCTCTCTCTTCTTTTGGGTACTGTGTTTTGCAAGAGAGGCATTGAGTGGCAATCATGTTTGGTCTATAGACTACTTTTAGCATGCTTCTCCCACCCTGGGAGGGTCCTCACAACATCCTTTATTTGGTGCTCTCTTCTCTATCTGAGCTTCTTTTTCACCAAGCACGTGTGGCTGGCCTTCAAGTCACGGAGCAAAATTCCTGGTACTAATCTCTGCCATTCCTGGGTGTTAAGTCTCCCTTTTTGTTGCTTTATGTTCCCCAGATGAATGCAATCTTTCTGTGTCTATCCCGCTCTTTCTGACTCATTTCGATTAACATGATACTTTCCATGTAGTACCACTTGTACGTAAATTTCATAACTTCATCTTTTCTAACAGCTACATAGTACTCCATTGTGTAAATGTACCAAAGTTTCTTTAACCAGTCATCTGTTCTCGGGCACTCAGGCTTTTTCCAGATTCTGGCTATTGTAAAGAGTGCTGCAATGAACAAACAATTGCAGATGTCACTTCGACTATACCTTTTTGCCTCTCTGGGATATATTCCCAGGAGTGGTATTGCTGGGTCAAATGGAAGATCAAATTCTAATTTTTTGAGAATCGTCCATACTGTTTTCCAAAAGGGTTGGACCAGTCGGCATTCCCACCAGCAGTGAAGGAGGGTCCCTTTCTCGCCACATTCGCACCGGCACCAGTTGCTTTTGTTCTTGACCCCCACCATTTTAATGGTCCCAGTTTTATCTATTTTTTATCTGACTCTCCTATCTTTGATTACTTTTTACAACATGAGTTTCTAGGATGTCCAAGATGTACAACATACGTGCTAGAAATCCTAAAAGTAGCATGTAATTGGAAGCATGAAATGATAAAAGATTGAGAATCTTTTTTTTTTCCTTTTTGGGTCACACCCAGTAATGCTCAGGGGTTACTCCTGGCTTTGCACTCAGGAATTACACCTGGCAGTGCTCAGGGGACAATATGGGATGCCGGGAATAGAACCCGGGTTGGCCGCATGCAAGGCAAACGCCCTACCCGCTGTGCTATGGCTCCAGCCCCAAAATATTAAGAATCTTGATAGCTCCTTATAGTAAAAATCAGTTTAACATATGACTGAGACCTATTTCTTCTTTTCTTTTTCTCAATATGTCTATATTACAACCAGTTCCCTGCTTCTACTCTTTGGCACTTCCTAAACTGCTACCTGTAAAAAGTTCTTTCTGCCTTTTGGCATCTGGTACCAGGGAACAAAGGTGTCCTTGTTTTTGGTGCAGCATTAAATATATCCATTAAAAATATCTAAAAGTATAAAGAATGTCTAAAAAAAAATCGAGACATAAAACCCAAATGTTATTTTGAAAAGAAATGCTCCAAAACTAACATACTTAAAGCATGATGTAAGGTTAGAGAAAAAAGTTATTTATACGATGAAAAAAAGTTACATAAATAATGCTATAAATTATATATAGTACAGATTTTAAAACATTTGTCAGATTCACTGAATCTAATTATATATATTTACTATGCTCCTATGGGAAGAAAAGAGCTTTTGACTAATACATTTATAAATAAACTTCTGGTAACAAAACCAGTGAGTTTCTTAAAGATCCTATGAACAAAGTTGTGCTAATGTTAAGAGAAATAACAAAAAGAATAGATAATGAGTATGGCTTAACACTATAACCTTTCTGACTACCACTTGAATATAGAATTAATATTATTCAGTGAAATATAAAATTAATCCCTACCATACAAATTTAATAAAAACTGAAATTTTGTAAATAGAGTAACACAAGATTTTAACTACAATGTTTATCACATGCCTTCTTATACTGTCAAAAATTACCATCACAAGACTCCTTATGGGAGTCAATTATGTTCATTTGAATTCACAAAGTATACAACAGAAAAATGCAACTGTTACGCAAACTATAAAAATATGACTGACATTTCATCTGGTCAACCATCTTAAAGGTTAATTCTTATTTCCTGCTTCAGATTTTACTCTAGGTGAACTGTTGTGGGCAGATTCTATTTACCTATTCTGAACAAACCACAGACTGTTTCATTGCTCACTCTTACTGTTAAGAACATATTGACTTGCTGCCTGCTCTGCTGTTTAATTCATTTATGCTGAGAGTCAGGCATGAAGACAGAATTTTAAATGTGACATTTGCAGGCTGTTAGGTCATTTAAGCTCTGACAACACCAGGGAATTCCTGACATATAAACTGGACCTGATTACTAAGCACAGAAGAGCTTCGTAAAGGGACAAGTATCTGGCCATTTCCTTATAATTTCTCAGAATTTAAATACTAAATTTAACATTTTAGAAATGGTTTCATTCAATGAGCTCACACTGGCACTTCTAATTATATCAACTAAATAAAAATTCTTTTGATTGACAAAGACATATGAAAAGATTCAATAACACTCGTTTAAAAATCTGAGAAATTTTGACATTTACAAAGGCTTTTAATTTTTTTTTAATTACAGATTCTGAAAAAGCTGGTATGTCAAAAGGCATCATCTACAAATTATTAAAAACTCTTCAATTTAGGGCTGGAGAGATAGAAGAGAGATTAAGGCTATTATTGCCTTGCATGTGGGTGACCCTGGTTTGATTTCCTACACCACATATGATTGCCCAAGCTCCATCACTAATGATTTCTGACACAGAACCAGGAGTAAGCCCTGAACACAGGTGTGTGTGGGCGGGGATGAAGGGAGGAAAAAGAAAATCCTTAAATTTTGGCTTATATGAGGTAGACCTTCTTTATATGTTGCCAAGTTATATGAAATCTGTTTAATTCTTTCCTTTTTTATTTGTTATATTGGTTGGTTTCTTTTGGAGCCATACCCAGAGATGCCAAGGGTACCAAATGATGCTGGGACTGAACTTAGGCCTCTGTATGCAAAAGATATGTTCCACCCCAAAATCGAAGTTTATATACTTACCATACAGCCTTCTCTCAAATTACAGTAACAGAGATGAGATGGACGAGTCATTGTATTGAAATGAAAAAGAATTAACCCCACAACATTCAGAATTACACCTCACAAGAGGTGATAAGGGGGGTTGGATGGGAAAAGTGGGGAAAGATTGTTTTCTTACTTTGGATACTCAAAAAAATCACACAAATGATATTTTTTAGTTCCTTATCACTGTTAGTAACAAGTACTACATACAGTGGTTCAAGTGAAAGTTTTCTGAAATTAAGTCATGTTGTTAGGTAACGGACAAAAGGAAATTCTGACTTTACACTGTATTTTATATAGTAAGAATTCTATTGTTACACAGCAAGTAGTCTTTGAATATTGTGCTTTGCATTAGACTTACAGCAGTAATAGGTAGTGTCTAAATAGGGATAGACAGCCTGAATGCCTTTCAGCTATAGCACATTGATTCTGAAAACCCTAACAAAAGCAATTACTTTTCAGAGATTAAAAATCCTGTTTCTTTTAAAAGAATAAAATGGGAAGCAAACCTGGTGTATTATCTGAGCTACAGGAAGTTGTTCGGCATATTTTAGAGGTTCTATTAGCTCCTCGTCCATCCAATCTTCCTCATGGCTGGAAAAAAGGAATAACAAAGTACAAAGCTAAGGTAAATATATATTTTAATATGGCAAATAAGTGTTCCAAATATGAAATACATCTTAAATAATCAGTATAAATCAACAATCTGTGAACATCAAATACCATCAATTGCATTAATTACTGTTTTAAGTAACACAGCATAAGCTAAAAGACTCAGATCTTAAAATTTAAAATGATTAAGAACTCTATTCTCAAAGTGAGTTCTTTTTATACCAAAGCATTTAAAAGTCCTCAAAACTTGGCGTCAACAAATTAAAGCCTCATCTCTATCTAGCAATGCTTTTTCTGTTCTAATTTATTGTCTCATTGCTTAAGCATATGTATCCACGGGTCACCCACCAGTGGGCCCTGAATCTCCTACACTTATTTTCTACATCTCTTCCCTGTTGAATCAATCATCACTTCCTTTGTTGTCTACTTGCCATTCAAACAATTAACTTATTTAGACCCAGCTATGTTTTTATCACATTGAAAACAAAGCCAAAGACTTATTTTTATATCCAGTATTTACCATATAATGTTTAATAAATGTTTGCTGAATAAATCTGTAAGTAAAATACAACAAACCTAAAGTTGTTTTATATGGAAAATTCTTCTTTACTAATTACATACACAATTGAATGAAGATAAGGAATTTTTTTTTTAATTTTTGTTAGTGAAAGACCATGAGGTACAGTTGTAGATTTACAAATTTTTGTGCTTGGGTTTCAATTATACAATGATCAAACACCCATCCCTTCACCAGTGCCCATTTTCCACCACCACGGGTCCCAGAATCCCTGCCACCCCCCATCCCCCCCATCCCACCCTGCCTCTGTGGCAGGGTATTCCCTTTTGTTCTCTCTCTCCTTTTGGGTGTTGTGGTTTGCAAAAGAGGCATTGAGTGGCAATCATGTTTGGTCTGTAGTATTATTATATATGATATAATAATAAAAATATAAATTTTTTTTTAAAAAAAGACCAAGGAAGGGGCTAGAATGATAGCACAATGGTTAGGGCATTAGCCTTGAACGTGGCCAACCCAGGTTCAATTCCCAGCATCCCATATGTTCCCCGAAGCACCGCCAGGAGTAATTTCTGAGTGCATGAGCCAGGAGTAACCCCTGTGCATCGCTAGGTGTGACCCAAAAAACAACAACAAAAAGACCAAGGAATAATAAAAAATTCTACTAAATATAATTTAAAAGGGCACTATCAATAAAAATACACACAATGGTAGAAAAATTTTTACACATTATGTACCTGACAAAGGATCTCTGACAACAGTATACAAATATCATAATTCAACAGTAAAAAAGGACAAATAGTAAAAAATTTTCCTTCTCATCAAGAATATATCTGACTGAAACTGATATTTTATGTTTGTTCTTTTACTCTGTGGTGGGGAAGAATATGACTACAGAGTGAAGTTTGGTACCAGTTTGATTCCTGTTAAGGTAACAATAGTTTTAATAAATGTTACCTAAAAAGAGTAAATCACTAGGGGGTATGGTGCCGCCAGCAGGTCAATCTATACCTGTGAGGCGAGTGAATCAGCAGCCTGATGGCACTGTCAGGCTTTCAGATACCCCAAAATTGCTGCTGTGCCTTTGGCCAGACCCCAAAAACTTAGGGCAAAATTTACCAAGAAAGTAAACGGCCAAAAGTTAGATATGTGGGAGACACACCCACAAAGCACCTCTGGCTCAGCTATATAATTGGAGGCATGGCCTCTCTGGTTCCTGATCGAAACTGCTTAACGGCCATGACCCCAGAGACTCAGAAACAAATCTCGGAACCCAATGGCTTTTGGCAGAAATGCATCCTGTTCCTGCAGTAGGTTACTGGCGCTGGGACACTCCAGGTGGGAATAGGTTTCGTGCCTTGGCCTGTTCCCCTCGGTGGCCCGGTGACCACCATCCTCCAGAGGCCACTGGACAGTCAGGTTTGGGCCTGCAGTGATGAGACACGCGGGGCCTCACCAGATGGGGGTGGAACCAGCCCTTTCCTCCCCGTACCAGTGAGACCCCAAGTCGCTGCCTACAAACGACTTCTCTGGCTCCTGATCAAGCTAATTAACGACCATGAACCCAGAGACTCAGAAACAAATCTCGAAATCCAGCGGCTTTTGGAAGAAATGCATCTGGACCACACACAAGGTGGCCGCCAGCTCAGAGCTTCTTGGAAAGCCAGGTATGAGTTGGCGGTCACGGGGCAACTGCAGTCTCATGGGAAGGGGGACAGTACCGGCTCGTCCTTCACACCCTACTGAGGTCCCCCACAAGCAGCTCTCTGGCACAGCCATGACTCCAGAGGCAAAAGGACTTAATCCAGAGCCTGGCAGTTTGAGGCAGAAAAGTGAATGGACCATTCGTTAAACTACGGCTTCATGCCTCCCTGGGAGGGAAAGGGTATTGCTCCCTTCCACCACCACCACCCCCCCCCCCCCCCCCCGCCCCCGGCAGCAAGGTGGCCACTGCCTCAGAGCTTATTGGAAAGTCAGATATGAGCCGGCATTGACGGGGCAACTGCAGTCTCATGGGAAGGAGGGCGGTACTGGCTCGTCCTTCACGCCCTACCGAGGTCATGAGTTGCCCCCCACAAGCGGCTCTCTGGCACAGCCATGGCTCCAGAGGCAAAAGGACTTTGATCCAGAGTCTGGCAACTTGTGACAGAAAAGTGAATGGACCACACGTTAAACCACGGTGCCATGCCTCCCCGGGAGGGAAAGGCTGTTGCTCCCTTCTGCCTTTCCCCCCCACCCCCAGGTATGAGCTGGCATTGATGGGGCAACTGCAGTCTCATGGGAAGGGGGGCAGTACCGGCTCATCCTTCGTGCCCTAACAAGGTCATGAGTTGCCCCCCACGAGATGCTCTCTGGCACAGCCATAACACCAGACACACAGAAACCAATCTCGTAATTATCTGGCTCTTTGCAGATATCCAAAATCGTGAGGCCGCTATTGGGGCCATGCGAGATTATATGATTCTCATAACCAGCTATAGAAAACGAAGTATTTCACAATGCCTTTTCAGCAATTCTGATTGTTGGGGGGGAGGGGATTGTAAACAATAATGGTGCATCTTTTGTTGAAATAATGAATGTAATCAATGTGATAATAGTTAAGTGGAAATCATCTGCCTCATAGGCATTGGGAGGGGTGGGAGGGGGGTATATTGGGGTTCTTGGTGGTGAAAAATGAGTACTGGTGAAGGGAGAGGTGTTTGATCATTGTGTGACCGAGACTTAAACCTGAAAGCTTAGTAACTTTTCCCACAGTGATTCAATAAATAAATATAAGAAAAAAAATAAAATAAAAAGAGTAAATGACTAAGGTAATCCTAAGAGTTTAAACATAAATGTAAAAAAGACATCTATGGGGCTGGAGAGATAGCACAGCGGGTAGGGCATTTGCCTTGCATGCAGCAACCCATTCCTGGCACCCTTATGGTGCCTGAGCACTGCCAGGAGTGATTCTTGAGTGCATAAGCCAGGAGTGGCCCCTGTGCATTGGCGGGTGTGACCCGAAAGGAAAAAAAAAAAGATATCCAATTGTTTATCATAAGTAGCTAATATAACAATATGTAAAACTGAATATATTTTATTAATAAAATGTCTCTAGGTCAATAAGAGAGTTACAAATACTTTCGGGTTTTTGTTTGTTTAGTTGGTTGGTGTTGGGACCACACTACTGTTGGTGAGGGCTTATTCCTGACTCGGCATTCAGGAATTACTCCTGGCAGGCAGTGCTTGGAGAACTATATGGGATGCTGGGGACTGAACCCAGGTGGACCACATGCAAGGCAAATCTTCCACCTGCTATACCATCTCGCCAGCCCCCAAATTACAAATACTTTGGAAATGTAGCAAGAGTGATTTTGTTTCATGAAAACAGTTCTTGCAAAAAATTCCAAACATATTTCTATACTTACATTTTATCTGAGCCATTTCAAAGCAAAGTGCAGTAATCAGAACCCACATTCAAACACTTAAGTGAGCACCAAACTATTTGTGAAATGTTTGAAAACAGTATTTTTTCTCAACTGAAGTATAATTGTCATGCATTATATTAGCTTCAAATATAATTTGACATATACATATAATGCAAAACAAGATCCTAAATCTAGATGTCATCTAGTCTTAACATTTTAAAAAAATCTGCAATTCAATTTCATTGCCTACAGGATCCATACTGTACATATCACTGTGACTTATTTTATTACTGAAAATCCTTGATATATAACTGGAATTCTTGATCCCTTTCGCTTATTTCACAACATGCCAGACTCTTCACTTATGATAACTATTAATCTGTTCTACCTATGAGTTTTATCTTGGAATTTACATGTAATTAAAATCATATTTGTCTTTTCTGTCTGACTTCACTTGACATAATGCCCTCAACTCCATCTATATCAATGCAAAAGATTCTTTTCTTTTTGTGGCTGCATAGTATTTTACATGTGTAGCATCCCACATTGTATTCCATATGCGAACACAGCCTCCTTTTGTTGATGAAGACGCCTTTCCAACTGTGCTTGGGATTCTGGGGTCCCTGAAAGTCATAGTTGATCTAGTAGTGCTCAAAGATGGCAGTGTGGTACTGCCGAGGCAAAATAGTACTGTGGACCACTATGGCCATTCAGTGGTAGCTGGAGCCACCATAGTCAAACTGAGCATCTTTGGGAACTCATACAGTGCCAGAAATCAAACTTTGAGCTTTGAATGTGCATTCTACCCCTTTGAGTTATCTCCCCAGGCCCTTATGTCTTCTTTACCATTCATTTGTTCAAAATTACTCAGGTAATCTCCATATCTTGGCTATTAAAAATACTGCTACAATGAACAAAAGGGTGTATCTATCTTTTCTAATTACTGTTTTCATTTTGTTTGCATAAATATCAAGAAATAAAATCAATGGATCACATGGTAACTTTATTTTAAATTCTTTTTAAAAAATTTATTGCAGATACCATAATTTACAACATTAATA